TACTGGGCCATAACTCCGGAACTTTTGAGAGGTTAGAAGCAGTAATACGATCTTGATGTTGAGTTTGATTGAAAGGAGTCGTATTGGAGCGGCAGTGGGGCGAGAAGGGGTGGGCTGAAGGGCCACGCTACTTACTCTATACGCAGCTAGTATCATCGCAATCTGGGGAACAATGTCAGGAAGCGTGGAATGTGAGCGTGGAATGGGAGCGATGTCAACACAAACAACCAATGGCAGAAAGGTGAGGGGGTGAGCTCATTCCACGCCCCTTGGTACCGCGCAGCATGACTGCGATTATATCAGCTATATATATTTCCCTGTGGTTTTATGCGAGAAGCCTTAAGACACTCTTCGCTTTTCAAAACCCCCAGTTTTTGGCGATTTGCCGATAACTTACAGTCTCATTCCCTTTTCCCGAGAACTTGCCTAGTATTGGTGATGGATACTACAGTCAATTTCAACAAAAAGGTTATGGTGTAGTGGGATAGCATGCGATGTGCACAGTCCGGGGACGAAAAAGGGCTGGAGCGAAAACGAATGAGCTCCGTCAAGGAAAAACCAGCCTACTTCAGAACTCCTTTTTATGGTTACGCCTCGAAATTTCACTGTTCAGCCCCATGTCGGCTGTTTCCCTACTTCAAAATAGCTCTACAACCTCGTCGAAGTCGAAGGTTTCGAGACATTATTCATCATCAACCTTTCACCTTTCTATCAAACTGTCGATGAAAGAGGGACATTTGCCAAGATGTTTACTAATCAGTAGAACGATATGTTTAGGAAACAAGAAGCAACGATTTATCGAAACCCACTCTAAAGGCTAAGCGTGCAGCTCCCCTCCCTCCCCCGCTCAACCATGGAGGATATCCCATAGCCCCTGATTCTCTATAGCACTCTGAACTGATTATTTCAGCATTCGTTAGGAAAAAATCTTTTATTGCGGACGCTACCTTCAAATATGGCCTAGAAACGTTAACGCTTGAAAGTTTTGCACTGACCATTTTGGAAACAAGGGTTGTGAAGGCGAGTTTACGCCACTTTCCGGTGTATGCGAGGAAGCACTCAGACGAAAAACATAAGAGATCACTGAGACAGGAACGAGTGCTACCAGCTGGAGAGCACGAAATCCCATTCTCCTACACTCTGCCCAAGTCGCTGCCCTCTTCGTTCGAAGGAGAATTCGGTCACATTCGATACACTTGCAGGGTAAGCTGACATTTTCTTCAAGATTGTTTTTCTTTCTTTTCTCTTTTTGTTTTTCATTTTTACGGTGCATTCCTTTCACTTCTT